TACAAGACTCGACTAGAGTAGCCCTTCAAAAAAGAAAATCCATGTGGCAGTCATGTCGGATATCCAGCCCCCGAGAATCGAATATCCGTGGTGTCTTATACTTTGGCCCCAACGACTTGCCCTGGCAGTTCACCATCTTCCCCGGCCGACCTACGAGAGCACGGCAGAGCAGTCCAATTCCAGTCCAAACCGCTTCTCGGACTCATGAGACACCCATCGAGTTCTGTGCATTACAATTCGGTCTTGGGCACCCTGGTTGGCGCTGTCGTTGCTTCAAGAACTGGGCGTGCTCGATAAGGGATACAAACCACGCGGTCTGCGAACTCTCCTCCAAGTCGCGGTGGTCAATCTTCATCTTGAGAACTCATAGTTGTGTTGCCGCCTATTTCAAGACTCCAGCGATGTTCTTATTCTGCACGCTGTGATATTTCGCTGGCGCTGCAAGTTCAAGCGCATGGATGGTGCCAGAGACGATTCAGCTGCACTTCATGACGCAAAGACGGGGATTCCAGAGGAGCCAGTATCAGCCTGGAAGAAACGTTCAAATCATGGATAAAGGGGATACGAGGTATCGTCACTCTGCCGCCTTATTCAAGGTGTAAGTGAGAATGTTCATAGCAGCACTAATAGACATTGATGAAACCAGCGCCGCTACGATCCATTGATTTCCTTGTGAATAACATCCTCCCATTCACATTATAAGATTCAGCTGATGAAAACCAGGTGAGTTTGCTTATAATTAATTTTCCTTGCACCTTGATTATCCAGGGTAAACATCAGATCTCGACATGAGGCAATCATCAAACGGAGGGATATATATTCCACATGCACCTAACCGACAGTGTGTGAAGAAAGCACACTGATTTGATGCATTGCCTTTCTACTGTTATCCGGTAGATCAGAGACCTGCGTTGGACAAACCGTTGATATAATGCTCGTCCTCATCAGTAATATGTTCGGAATGCAAAAACACTAAAACCCTTTGACTAGGGGTCAAAAAGAAAATGACCAGTCAGAGAGACTACAAGGGTCCCCACAACCATCACAGGGTGGCCTGTATATATTTCTGGTCGAATCTCAAGACTTTTTTAACATCCGAGCATGCATTGGATTCAAGTTGGAGTGACAAAGAGGGATAAAGACTTATGATGGTTGTCATAAGTGATGAAGACAACTGATCAAAAGGCCTCCCAAATCTACACGAAGTTGACCCAAATCTTATCACTTTTAGAATAGAGATCCTGATCTTCTTGTTCGTTGCTCCTTGAGGAGTCAGAGGCATTCTTCCGTGTAAGTCCGGGTCCGGCACGAACTCGGTGATTAACTACCTGAGGATATCGCGCTTGGTAATGGTTTTAAAACAGCGAGTGTCGATTCATCATCAGTTTCCACTTTATGGAATTTGATGACAAAAGAGAGGTCAATGCCACCAGATACGAAGCAAGGGAGATGCGATGGACTGGATGGACCTGGAAACTTGGAAGAGGTCACAAGAACAGTAATAATGCATGTAAGGAACTCGTCGTCACTTCCAACTTTTGAGCTGCCCTGTCCCTTGTGGCGATGGCAATGCACGAGGTCATGAATGAGCTGCATGCTCTTTATGGTGCGTGGGTCAAGGACCAGGGTAACAGTGGTGATAGCATCGATATCGGTGATGTGATATTAGACTAGACGATTGAGCCGAGGCATGGGAAATGGCCTCTTGAGATGGCTTGAAGCTAAGAGATTGACAGCTGCCTAGAAGTTTCTGGCGCTTAACCCGCGGCAATGGTAAAGATGAGACTGAGACCAAGGGGAGACTTCAGACGTGGACTTTGCTGAATGGAAACAGTGACACAATCGAATGGATAGAAGCCTTCGATTGCAGGGAGGGGGGGGGGCCTGAATCTGATGGAGGGTGCCCCAGCGTGCCCGCTGTGGGGAAGACCCAATGGAAGAAGTCGCCCTGCCCTGGAGCCCAGAATCCAGATGCCAGAACAGTCAGTCGGCATCCAATCAAAGTTGCCCGACGCTAATCGCGGATACTTACCCGGGCTTGTCTTTCCAATTCTTTAGGTTTGTTGCTGCAGGGCGCGGATCATGGGAGTGCTTGCCCGGACTTCAGATACAGGGGCGCTTGGTCCTTGGGCCGCGCTTTCCATTCATTAATTCACATTCTGCGACAGCCAAGCAGGTTCGTGCGTACGACCTTACATGCAACTTCCCTACTCGGGCTGGAAGTGAAAGGGAAGGCAAGAGGGAAAAATCAAATTAGGTACCTACCTTACCTTGAGGCTTCTCGGCCATTAGGGAGGCTCAGCCTCATTCGCGATCCGTCCCGTATCTGTCTTGCTTCTTCTTCTTCTTCTTCTTCTTCTCCCCTTGTTTGTCTCACTCAAAATTCATCTGTGACGCATTCACTTGTGACATCCTTCATTCTTCATCCATCCCTGGCCCTTCAATTTCCTTTCACAAGAGTACACTCGTACATCGTTACTCTGCGGCAACATTCAGGTCAACCTGTCACATAGATAGGTGCTTTGTCAATTCCGGCGGGACAAACAAAAGAGAAATCGGCGAGATCACAGTAACCCAATGGACAAGCCTCAAAGCCCACCAGTCACACTTGCACCAGATCCAGACGTCAAATCCAGGGACCAGCCAATGGATCACATCTTCAAGGCCGTAACATGGTCTGAGGAAGAAGATGAACGGCAGCAGAACGAGAGATGCTCGTAAGTTCTTGCTCTGACTCCTTCTTGAACTTGTCTGACATCAAGCTCAGATCCCTCGAGGCGCAGGGGCAAGACAAGGTCACCCGTTGGATGAGAGACGGACTACAGTACGGGTAACCCCATCTTTTTTGCGTCTCTGCTCGTCTTGGACAATCTCTGATGATCCCCAGGGTTCTCTATTGCGATCTTCTGCCAGACATCTCCAGCGTAGTACGCCCAGTCGACAAGTCCGGCAGTTATATGGACATGCTGCCATGGTGGAACCCGGATTATGAGTCTAGTACAACTCTAACAACTACCGAGAGGGCCACCCCGATTCCTCAGGTCAAGACCCTGTTGTCTCCTGATGAGCAACATACCGACGACATCAAACGCGAGAGGGCGTTCCATGACCTTCTGACCAAGGCTGGGGGACGTCCTTGGTATTCCAGTGAGCTCATCGACCAAGTCGCCCAGAACCCAGAACACCACGCCGAGCTTCTTGAGTACTGGAAACAGGACACTACCGGATCGGGGAAGCAAGAATGGATGGTGTTTGAACGCCAGCTGGAAAGGTGGAACCAGTTCTGCCGTTATCAGCTGAGAGTGAGACGAAACCGGGATACATTTGACGAATACCTGGCGCGATGTATCAAGTGCCTCTCTAAGCAGTCTCTCACCACGCCACTTCATATGAAACCAGATCCAGCAGACCAGGATCCATTATCACAATGGCTTGAGTACCTATGCTTTGAGGTGTCAGAGCGCAAAAAATACTCGTGGTACAAGCGCTATAACCAGCAGTATGAAAGCGCCTGGCAGACACTCGTGGACTCCAAGTTGTTGGGATTGCATGAAGACCGAGATCAGATTGAAGCAGCAGGATATACACCAGCATCAGATGGTGAAAGGACCAAACTAAGACAAGCCGTGGAGTTGGCCAGCTCAAACGTCTTATTAGCGGAACGGGATCTGTTGAACCCAAGTATAAGGGGGCCAGTAGCACAACGGAAACTCTTCGAGACCCAAGCCAAGCTTGACTCTGCAATCGAAGCTTTTGATCATTTCCAACGCCGGGGAGATGCAATCAAGGTGTTTCTCCAGACTACCTCTGCCTATCGTGAGGCAAGGCGTGGAGCTCTGCGGCACCAACTCCTTTTACGGTGGATGCAGCAACAGGTCCCGTTGATAGAGAAGGATCTTGGTTTACCGCCTTCGACAGGACATTTAATTGTGGATGCCGAGGTGCTTTTGGAGACGGATAGCGACGAGAGCGACGACCAGAAACTGAGTATTGACTCTTCTCGCACCGAGTTGTTGGACACACTTACCGGGCTGCAACGGAACGAAAGCAAAAAGCGCCTCGCGAGTATTTCGGCAGAAGCTGGTCAGACCAACAGCAATGTTCTCCCAAAGCGCTCCAAACATGTGGGCAACAATGAAAACGAAGCGAGATAACAGTAGGACATGATGGGTCACATTTATGTTTTTATGGGAATATTTTTTGCTCGCTAACGGTGTCGCCTATCTAGGGGAGGAAAGAAAACACGGGATCTTGACCCTAAAGATTTAGGTAATTGAGCCTTAATATAGGGGACTCTTTACTACCTAGGTTTATTTTATCACCCTCTTTTCAGGTCTTGAGTTTTCTTGCTCCCCGATGCCTATCTATCTATCATGGTTTTGAGGACTATCTAAGTTAGGAATCACTTGGATGTACGTGGCATGGTGGATCTGTAAGAGCAGGAAAACGGAGTCTGGTCAAGCTTATACGGATAAGAAGAAGAAGCTACATTAACCTTGAGGGATATGTGAAGTTCATTGGTGGTTTATCAAGACAATCTTAAATATTTACATGCATACATGCTCCCGGCTTTCTCATCTTATGGGAACAGCTTATGAATTCGATGGCCGTGGATGAAATTTGATACTCTCGATATCCATGCAGGCATGCTTTTGTCATGGTCAACCCTAACCCATGGGGTGTGATCCAGTTTGTATGGTTCCACTAGCCACGTCGAAAAGGGTCCTGTGTTCCCACTTGCAATGGCTGGCGCATTTTAACCACCACGACCCCTGTCGGTTCAATCTGAATTGTGCAGGCATTGGACTCTGGAGGTGGCAGCTTGTCCTCCTCCTTTGACGCCATCACCAACAGCTGCCTTACCAAGGCTGCCCCCCCCCCCCCTTGCGTCGACCTGATTTCTCTCCCCTCCTTATTTCCCTTGGGTTAGGCTTCCGTGATTTTGGTTCCCACACAATTGATCGCGAATTGCTTCAGATGGCCTGAACGATCGATGTGAGATGGCCAACCCTCCCCCCGTTCGTCGGGGCTCTTCCACAGGCCATCTACCTCCACAACCGCTTGCGCCCGTGACCTCGACGTCTAGCAAACCTCCGCCGCCACCGCACACGACCAAGACAGCTCCTCCCGAGATCGATAGCCCCGTGCATCCTTCTCTTCTCCAACCCCGTGTCGCCGTCGTTCTCAATGTTCCCAAGCCATGGCACCCGTGGCTTTTTGCCCTGCGGCTCTTCTCTATTCTCCCGGCGTTGTGGTGGGGATTGCCTTCTGCGCTTCAACTACTGTTACGTGTCCTGCCAGGACCGGAGATTGTAGTTGTTGTGCCTTCAACGACGGGAGGATCTGTGGCTATGAGTGTCGAGGCAGATGCGCGGTACGCCCTGACTGAGACTGGGCTTGCAACTATATGGGTGCGTTGGGAGATTATTCCTCGAGGGGATCCAATGCCAAAAAGTGCTGTACTGATATGATATGCTGGACGTTAGTGTTTTGCTTCGGGATATTTATCATTCTTCTTCACGGACTGTCTGATGTCCAGATGGTAGGTTATTCCGTCGTCTCTGTTGTGACATCCTCGCTGTGCAACACCATATTGACTAGTTCACAGGCTCATCAATTATACCCCACAAGCGACCATGGTTCGCCTGCTCACAACCAACTTTTGTAACGCATATCTCACTGCGTTTGTGCTCTCTTTCACGGGTGGTTTCCAAGATCCTCGTCTCCTCCTCCCAGGCTGGGTTGGCATAGCCACTGTATGTCTTCCCCGCACACGCGACACACGGCACTCACCGCAATCAAAGTTTGCTACTCCAGCTAACAACTACGCCGCAGACTCTTACCATGATGTATCACGTCACTCACCAAAAGATCAACATTCGCAAGGAGACGTCCACCTCTATCAACGTCTTCTCCATAGCTTGTTCCATCACTATGGTGACTCTGCTGGTACACCTTCATCAGTCCACACCTGACTACCCCCAGATGCCAATCGTAGCTTCTGGTCGGCGCGCCTTTGATGAGGCTTCGCGCGTTATCACTCAGATCAGGGGAAGTATCGAGCAGCATGAAGATCTGTAGAGCTTCTCGGCTGTCTTTCCGGCGAACGAAATGCCTCTCTATTTGTGCCTGCACAAGGAGGCAGGCGAACCGTTGTTGTTTTCCTTTACAAATGACTTTCAGCGACTTTTTGGTTTCTCTTTAAACCCTGATATCCCCGCCCACGCTAGGGCTGAATATGTCTGATTATTCTGCGGAGCTGTAAAACTCATGTATACAATTGCCTGTGAATCCCAAGCAGTGTGCAGTTTTGGAGGCTGGATTTTGGTTAGCACTACCCCAGCTGCTGTGCCTTACAAGTGGGACCTGACGTCAAACTACCACCACAACTAGCATTGAAACAATTTCACATCAATTTTTAGCAAAAAGATTCGGAATCGACTTTGTATTTGCATGAGACTACTGCGGGGCTTGCCCATGTAGACATATCTGACTAACGAGCGACTGACAAGCCATGTTGGAGTAACAAATGCTTTGCCCGTAGCCTCGTCCTTGGTGCACGTGAGCAAGATGGATGCCGAAAAGCTATCATCCACCTGCTGCAGAACGCGCAGCATAAGAATAAATACTCTTCCAAAAAAGCCACCAGGAGTAAAACTCGCCCTGAGTGGATGCCCGTCGTCCTAGAGTAATCGGAGCCGAGCCTCGGTGTGTCTGTTGCGAGAGCAAGAGTACACGTCCGGAAAAGGCACAAGCCGGAGAGGCCATGCGTCCCTGTCCCTCTACGTCAAGACGCCCGGGAACGGCGACTGACAGGACGACGGGGCATGCAGAGCTTTAGAAACCGTGGACCTTAATGGTCTTGGCATCTAGCTCGAGGCCTTCCTTCTTGTCGATGAGAAATTCCTGAACATCTTTGCGCTGATCACCCTGGAGCTGGATCACCTCTCCCATCTCGGAGTCGTTGACGATAGTGCCATTGCAGGCTGGGTCGCATTAGCTTCGTAATCAGTGGCGGCGGAGTGTGGAGCTTACCAAACTTCTTCTTGATGACCTTAAGAATCTTCTTCTGGTCAAATTTCTTGGGGAGACCCTGAACAGTGGTCAAAGTCTTACGTCCATTACGCTCTGGGGCCATGTTAGCATTGTACGCGAAAACGATGCCACCTAGAGGCAGGTGTAGCACGGATTCAGTCACACAGAAATCTCACGTGAGGTTACGGTGTGATGTGATCCTTGATGCGCCCTTGGCTAGTGTGGCTGGAGTAGAAGATGACTTACGCTGAATGCGTATATGGATGTAATTCTGCGTCTGCTTGGTTTCTCCGGTGTCCTCGTCGGCTTCGGCGAAGGGGTCTAGTGTCGCGATGGTCAGCTATGGTGTTCCTCAGAATCGATTTGTTGTGATGGGATACGGAGATGAGTGGAGATTCAACATGTGGCTTGTCGGGAACAAATGCAGGTACGAAAGTACGAGACGACAGGCCGATATCCGAAAGTCGAGACGACCCGCGCAGATGAATACCAAACCCGGGAGGGAAAGACTTCTGGAGGGTAGCAAAGAAAGAGACTCACCGTAGGTCTTGAGATTTTCGATGGACATAAACTCGGAGGTACTGGGGTTACCTTGGGAAATGGGTTTTGTAAAGGGGAAGAGGATGTTTTCAGCGACCGCTGGTAATATAGCGCCTCGCTGTGTAGATATCGAGTAGTGCGTGTAAGCGATGAGGATGTCTAGCGACGAGGTTTGCGAGGCTGCAAAGTCTTTGGAGTTTGCGGGTATTTGTGTTGGTGACGTTGTTAGGGAGAAGAAAGAGTCGGGAGAGTTTGGTAGAAGCGGGAGGGGCAAAGATGAGTAAGTGGGCTTTAGGATTTGGCGGGCACCTCAGGAGGCAGCACGGGGCGTGCTAGCTAATTGGGCTGTGTGTTAGCCTAAATTATCAGGCAGAAAGCCTTGCGAGATAAATTCGGTGAGCATACTCCGTACACTGCCATCTATAACGGGGCTCTGAATCAGAGCCCGTCGTTAGGCAAAAACACTACCTAGAAGTTGAAAATCATTGAAGCACGTACATACATAGCCTAGTCCGCCAAATAAAATAACTTCTCCAATTTACGCAACTTAGGGAGATTACGTTTTTGTTTCTAGAGGCGTGCCTATTTTCAGAAGTCAAGTCATCCTGTAGAAGTTGAAAATCGATGAGATGTTTTGATCATTGGTGCAAAAGCATTCGTTCTCCTTGCAAGGTCTTGGAAGGCTCACTCGAGCAGTGATATTGGTCAAGATCGACGGAGTAGCCTACCGCACATTTCAACCAATACACGGCAGCCCAGCCCAGCCACTGTTGGTCCTCACTTTATTTCGGGAAGCCCGTTGGAAGCGGAAGATGCCTTGCTCCTGAACCCGGCAAGACTCCTTTCAATCGCTTTCAATCAAGTCGAGACCTGTCGTTGAGTCAAGGCTCCACAGGTACCTTATGGTGTCCGCGTTTCGGCACATATCCCCAGAAGGTAGCATTTGTCGGGCATTTTGTTGGCTGCTGGATGCACTGCGCCTTCGTACACACTGTGATATGACATCTGTGATCCATCATCCTGTGCAGTCTCTGTTCAACTGAAAAGTGCGGTGTTGTGTTGTATTGCGTTGCGTTGAGGCCAGTGGTGGTCTAACCAAGTTGTTGGCTGTCACTATTGCTGCAAGTCACACGGCCTTCGCTTGTGACGCGCAGGACCTCATCCTGACATCCGAAAAGCTACCTAGGCACATAGGTAGTGTTGCAATACCTTGGGTTGGATTGATGTGATGAGTGACTCTTGTCAATGCAACATGGTTGGAGGGAGGCAACTCAGATAAGAGTCAGCCTTTCAAAGCCAGACACCGCCACTTACCCTGAACTTCCTGATTCGTTCAGTCATTTCCTCAGTGACTTCTGCGCAAACATAAGTAGCCATAGGTTCCGTTTGTGATGCAAACAGAGCGCAATAGTGCAGAGAAATGGACCAGATCAAGCAGGATTCTGGTTTTCCAAGCCGGAAAGGATCCATGGGAAAGGCACCTGCCAAAATCAGGCCAGGGGTGGTGAATGTTACAGATCTTAGGTAGGTATTATTAGCAGCGATGTTAGCGCGGAAGGCTCCTTCCGGGGCGCTCTGTTATAGACAACCTAAAAGTATGCGGGAGCGAGGAAACAGCGAAACAGTAAGGTAGCTGCCAACTCGAGGGACTTTCGTAAACCAAGGTAACCACCAAGGCAGCCTCCCTAATCAGATCACCATAGTGTGCTGTACAAACTGACATGGAATGCATTAACCCTTCCACCTTGTTTCATTTCTATTACCCTTGACCGTGGCATTGCTTCTCCCACGCAAGTTTGGGTCAGGCCCTAGTTTCCCGCTTCCGCAGTCGGTAATCGGTGCCACTTTTGCCTCGTTTCTCCCAAGACCGAAAGCACCTGTTTCTGATCCATACAGTAGACCATTTCGTCATTACCAGTGGGTGTTTCGCCCAGCTCTTGGACCCTAGATCGAACCATCTCACCTCGCTTCACGGAACCGAGAGTACTAGTCAGGGCTTCAGCTGTCTAGATCCTGGGGCACAGCTAGCCCTATTCGGAGGAAGTCTTCAATATTGCTCGCATCATTCGCAACCTCAACGACCACCCGTCACTATCACAGGGGCCATCAACCCCGGACCAAATCCGATTAAGTACGTCCTAACGGCGGTGATCACCGTAGGGTCGAGGTAACGCTCCGAACGCACCTTATGGCCGTTGGCACCAGACAGTGTCTGACCACTTTTCAGCAGCCTGCATCTTCGGACCTGTCGGCCACCCTTCCGTTTCTGGATTTTGTCTGAGCATGGAGTTTCAAAAGAAGGCACCCTTTGAGCCCGAGGAGTTTCCTCCGGGATCGCCGCCCGTAATCCGCGAACGTTGCGGCGAAGTTACCTGGTTACCTATGTGCCGCCACACATGCACGTTTGAGACTCAGCATTTCAGCGAGATTATGCTCAACCTTGTCGAGAACCCAAACCTCAACTCCAAGTGGTTGTTTCGTGCAGATGTTCTCTTAGATGATGACTGTCAGAACCCTGCCCCTGAAGCTGACAGTGCCATCCAAAGCCACCCTTGGGCTCTCGACTTCCAAGGATTCAGCCGGCAAAGAACCATTGTGCGCCGATTGATACCCCGAAACACACTTCGCGATGCTCCATTGGACCAGACCTGCTCCTTCCATCACACAAATATTCATGAGGATAAAGAAGTTGACGGTGAAGCCACCCTGTCAAGATCACTAGTCGTGTATATACCACATGCCTCCTCTGCTGCAGACCTACCCTTCTATCACCCAAAGGTCAAGGGTATCAGCCAGCTTCATGAATGGGATGTAGCCACCAACACAGGCACCATCTCCGTTCACTTTGCACTTTTTGAACCTGAGGCACGCGAGGAAGAGGTCGACCAAGTCAAATTGGGGAGGATAGCTTACCATCTTCTCCAGACCATCCACAAACATGGTCACAGCACTGCCCGAGGCTACGTCAAAAGAGTTCATCACGATGTCATTGTACCCCGAGAGAGATTTCAGGATAGGTACTCTGAACTAAAAAACAAATACGCCAGAACTCTCGTCAAGTCCTGGCTTGAGACTACAGATCCCACAAAACATGTGTTTGAAGATCTAGGTATTGCAGCATTTCTGATTGAGCTGTGGAAGGAGATGTACCACAATAGGGACTTTCCAGGGTTTGTGGACATCGGCTGCGGAAATGGGTTACTGGTTCATATCCTCAGGATGGAAGGATATACTGGCTGGGGTTTCGATGCCCGCGAGCGCAAGTCGTGGTCTCAGTACAACTCACCATTCACGGGATCACCCTCTGGGTACTCCCTCCAGAGGTTGCTCTTACTTCCCAGTGTCATTCCCAGGGAGGCAACGAGCGATGACACTAGAGCAGTCAACTCTGAGGACATTCATGATGGCCTTTTCCCTCCTGGCACATTCATAATATCTAACCACGCCGACGAGCTGACACCTTGGACTCCAATCCTTGCCGCCATATCTCAATGCCCGTTCATCAT